TTCTCAGGGATCTGAAAGATGATATTTTCAGTTGTTTTGCTATAAAATAAATTTTAAATAACTTATACTGTAAGGTCTCAATCCTTGTATCTTATTGTATTTCTTATTTCGTATCTCAATCCTTGTATTTCTGTATAAATCATGACATGTGGAGACTACACAGTTCAGGCAAACATTAAGATCAGTCTAACCTGTGACATGTACAATGATTGTAAAACATTTGTTGAGTTTAAGCCCAAGAATGTTCTCCTCACAAATACTAAGATTTGGTAGTCTTTCGGAATAATTAGATCAATATGTCCCTTGAACGTCAGTTTGGAGTTATATATACTCCCAAGTCTCTTATAGAAGATAATTTTGGGGATTGAAACTAGTTCAATTTTGTATGCATATTCAATAGGCATTCTCGGAAGAGAAAAGGCATATGTATTTGCATTTGGAACTTGTCAAGTTAATTGTCGATACACCATTTTGAAAAATCTTGCAATGCAGCTTGAAAATAGAGATAATCTGGTTTTGGAATTATCTTGAAAATTTTGCAATCGTCAGCAAATAAAATGTATTCAACATATTTCAGAACCAATTTAATATCATCAATATAGATGATGAAAATTAAGGGACCTAGAGGAGACCCTTGAGGGACTCCGGAAAAAACAGTAATTTCTTCTGGTTCTACTTTTCTGTATTTCACAAATTATGTCCATTAAATAGCAAGTAAACCATTGCAAAAGGGGGGCCAGTAATACCAAAACATTTCAATTTCTGTAAAAGTAGATGGTGGTTGACAGAATCAATTGCTTTGCTAAAATCATTGTATATACTCTCCACTTGGCATTTCTAACAGAAAGAATTCAAAATAAAATCAGTGTAGTAGACTAAGTTAGTCTCTATTGATCTGCCTTTTATAAATTATATTCTTTCATATTATAGAGATTGGTCTGTAATTTGAAATGTGAGTTCTGTCACCTGACTTGTGAATAGGGACACATAAGCCAACTGAAAAGGGGGTCATTATGAGTTGTTAAAGTATTGTAGCCCCTGTTAGTTTGTTACAGATATTTTGGATTTTATGTGTATTTTACATGACGTCTTATAAACGTTTTCAATATTATCTCAAAAATGGCTCCAAATTTATTGGTTACCCTTTTTTGTCAGATAACGAAAAGGATGTTTCCAAAAATGGCAAAGGTTTCATTTCAATTGGAATCTCTGATTTTTTGAAAATTGCTTTAGTTCACAATTTTTTCCAGTGTCTTCCTTTAACTTTAATATTGAAAATGGGGATTTTCTTTCTAAATGAAATGTGTTGTTCTAGGACAGGTCTTGAAATATGGTCAATGTACAATTTTTCAAAAATATTTGTAGTTTTTGAGGAACTTGTGTGAAATCAAGGTCATTTTAAACAATTATTTTCCCAAATATGACTCTCATATTTTTCTTTCAATTTTCTTCTTGTGTTTATTGTAAAAAAAAATTGAGGCATTTTCAGAAATTGCAAAAAATTAACATTGCAAAAGTTAGATATTGAAAATGAAGTTCATTTTACTTAAACAAATCTATTCTGAAGAGGTTTTGTACAGTGTTTTGAAAGAAAGAGTAGTCTTGGTGTAATTTCTTCCTGAAATGAATGCAGGCAAAAAATCATTTTCCCAAGAATGGTTTCAATTTTTTCCCTACAGATACAGCTAAGGACACTTTAAAAAATAGCATGGCATTTTTGTTGATCACTATGAATTTTCAAAAATTGTTTAAGTTAGAAATAATGTGAGAAATGATGTGCTGTTGTAGCACCACTTAAAATTGAACTGATTTTCTGACTAAATGCTACATTCTTAAAACCAAACATTTTAATTTTTTACATCTTTTAAATTGATGAAATATCATCCAATTGTTAATCTCTAGAATCATCAAATTTAAAATTACAGAATCAGTATGTGTGGATGTGATTATTTCAACGTGCTTCTTATTCAGTGAATATCAATGTTTATTATTCATATTAATTTTTCTGGAAAATACATTTTTTTTTGTTTGATGGTTTTGCATTTAATTAGTGACATAATGTTTGTGAAATTTCTAATCAATCATATACACACAATATAATTCAGTTTCCATTGATTTGCCATTTTGACTGATTGTAGGGGGAGGGAAACTTCCTTACTTTTAGTTTAATGGTAGACTAATGAAGATGTAATCAAATTATTCCCATAGATTTTGATGAAAGTAGAGAGGTATTCAGTCTTACGTGTACCTGAATCCTTAATCTACTTGATTAAGTAAAGTTTCAAAATACAAGTGCATTGTTAGTTCTTAGATCTTCTTTCTGAATTAACAACTGCTAATATGTAAAGTGTATTCTGAATTTCTGTTTATCAGTTAATAAAATTTTGGAAATGCTTACAGAGTTAACCAAGAATTGGAAAAGGTGTACCAAGAAGTCCAGGAATTGCATAAGCATAGTAAAACTCACACTCGTATTGCTTTGAAAGAATCTGAGCTCAGCAGTAAGGAAGCAGAATTAAGTAGACTGTAAGTTGGCATTACAATTTAATTAGAAAATATTTTTTATTATTATTTCTATTTATGTGTTATTAATATGTGCTTTTTAATAGGAAGAACAAAAATGGAGATACTCTAAAACATTTATTAGGATCAGTTCCAGAAATAGGTCTGAAAAGGAAATTTGATGAATGCTTAGACCAAATAGTAAGTTGTATTTCTTAAGAAATATCTGTTCCAAATATTGTAATTGGAATTTGAAAAACATATTTGATTTGATTGTTAATGTCATTGTGTAACAGGTTCAAGATATAAATAATAAAAACAGTCAATTGAGGGCTATTCAGAATGAAATTTCCAAAATAGAAGTGAATCGCCGACATAAGAAAGAACAAGTTGATGCAAAAGAGAAGGAAGTAAAAGGTTCGTCTGATGTGTTGATAATTTATTCATATATTTATTTATTTCTGTGGTTTTTGGCCAGTATGTGATAACTTGGTAATGTTAAAACATGCCAATCAAAAAAATAAATTCAAGAAACAGAAATGCGAAGTTAGTTTTTAATCCAATTAAAAATGTAGTGGTGAGAAATAACTAGAATTCCATATGAATGTGATTTTAGTTATTTTGACCAAACACCATAGATTTATTTAAGTGACAAGTTGTTTCAGTGGAGTTTGCTAGTTGTATCTGCCCCTGAATATTGATTCTACTACAGTGGAGACAATTCAACAACTTTTGGCAGAAGCTAAAAAAGCTTGGCAATGAATTAGAAAATTCAACAGTATAACAATTTTTTTGGTAAACTTCACCAAAGAATCAAGTTAATCAACTTTACACTGATATTATCTCAGATTTCTATTGATTGAGCAACTGATGGGTTATTTATGAGAGGTTATTTTTTAGATTATATCATCATTAGACCTTTATGCTATTATTTAGAAAACTAGTCAATGAAGTAGTTTTTGGTCACCATCAAATGTTAAGAAAAAGTCAATAGCTCAACTATTGCAAAGTTATTCACAAATTCATTGAAATTAATATAATCTCTTCAAATTCATTGTGACCGTCTACTTTTTTTAACTCTTGCTGTATGTGAATATAAACTAGTGGTGCTAGAAAAGACTTAGACTTCGAATTTGTTTGGACTACACTACCTTTTTGATATTACTCCACCCTCTTCCCAGCTGGTACCTACGACATTTTTTCACATTTTCTTTATTTTTTTGAGTTCCTGAAGAGTAGAATTGAATTATGGTTTTAAATGTATTAGAAGGGTAAAGCATAGTCCTACAAGCAGATTTTCATAGAGAAATTCAGAGCTGTACTTGAGAAAATTTATCTTGAGTGTGCCTGAAATTTGAGCTCATTTCCAAAGAATAATTTTAATTTTTGACTCTTTGTTTGAATTTTTGAATGAATTTTAGTTTTTGAAAATTCTGAAAAATATTTAAGTCAGAACTCCACAATTTTTATAAGCATATTTTTCTCTGTGAGATTAAAAAAATTGAAAGAAAAAAATGTCCAACAGTTGTTGAGAAAACATTATTATGTCATTGAGGCTTCAAGTAAAATACCCCCAAAAATTAATTTTCATTAAAAAATGCATGTATTTCAGAGTGACAGAGGCGGTTGTGGAAAAAGTGAAATCTATTTCTGGAGGTGGAGAAATTGATTACAAATATTTAAATGATATTTTTGAAATGCCGTTCAAAAATACAGATATTCAAAATTTCTATTCCAGATCCACCTCTGTCTCCTCCATATATTTTCGCGTATTTATTGACTAATGTCAACAAAGTTTTGTTTACTACTACAATTTTGCAAGAGTAATCCTTGTGATCAACTCTCGTGAGGATAAAGCATAATTTGAACATGGCTACAAAAAGTGCCACGGGAAAAAGGATTCTTAATTACAGTATTTTCCCACAACTCAGGTGTTCAAGAATTTTAAAATGTTGTGGAAATTCTAAAGTGTGTCAATTATGTTGCTGCAGAAATGCATCTCTCTGGACTTGCCTTATTTTTATTAAAACTGTTAGAGAATTCATATACTGTACTTTAGACTGTAATCGTAAATTTAATATTGAAAAGATTTGTTTGGAAAAGAAAGGTCCCCCCCCCTCTTTTAGCAGTTTAAAGTGCCTTTTTTGCGTACTTATTTTAGAGATTTATAGTGCTTCATGGTCCAGTTTCTACTAATCACATTCCCCATTGCTTCATTTACTAGTCTCTCAATATAAGGTTTAAACCTTTGCTCAAAGACAACACCAAGATTATCAACAAACTGCACTTTGTATAGACCTATGTTGTTAATGGTACAATTGGATTAGTTCTACAAAAGATCATAACTTGTCATCAAGATGAGTGTATGATCCCAACAACTTTCATGCAATATACTCAAATTTCTCATTTCTTTTTAGAACCAAATAACTGTCAAGTATTCTGATTGGGATGAATATTTTCAGGTCATCAGCATAAGTTAAAAGGAAACAAAATAAATTATGATAAAAGAACTTATTACCGAGAATTTTTGTGGTCCTTTATTTAGGATACAGGATTAATACGAAGTAGGTTGTTGGAGCACAATATTTCACGTGATATATCAGGGGATGTGGGTATGTTTTTTAAGAGTGAATATCAAATGAATGACATTGTTGTAAGTGAAGCATAGTGTGAAATTTAATGAAATTAGTGTCCAAAATATTATTACAGGAATCTAAGAGTTCACTGTTTTTATTTTGTTTATGGAAACATTTGAAAAGGCAAATTTCAAGAAGTTGCTAAAGGGCAGAGGTCATGAGTAAGAGAGAAGTGGAAAGAAAATTTGAAGTTACTGAAAGGAATGTTCTTAGGTGGCATTTTATGAAAGACACAGCATTCAAATTCACCTCGGAAAACTTTTGGGAGGATCTAAAAAGTCAGAAAACAACCTAGAGATGACAGGAGGGCCAGAAAAAAAGAAACAGTGAAATAAACATGGAGGGAAGATACAGTTCATCCTCTACAATACAAATGAAGATAAAGATGATAGGGACAAAAACGAGAATGGTGATGATTTCAAAGATGAATAAGAAGAAGAATATAACTGATCAGGAGGCCTCTTCAAAATTAGGGTGTTTGTCTTGCAGTCATATAAATATGACTATCTTCTGATCAGACTGATATTAAAAAGGCTAAGTGAAACCTGCTCAAACAACTACCTCCTTTAATTGTGGTTACCTCAATTAACAGCCATTTTTAATGAAACCAATTGTTTTTTCCATAAGACACTTGTCAGTATTCCATCATTTAAGCAGCCAATTGATCCCGTAACTAGCAGCCAGGCAGATTGATCTGCCTGGTCTCTAGCAATTTTGAGCTGTAATAGAATAAGAAGAAAAACTGGAGATTTCTGTTGAGTAAATAAGACTTAGGAATAAAATGAAAACTGTTTACTGAAGTAGTATGAATATTTTTTAGAAAGTAGTTAGGTAGAATTTTAAACTTCAGAATTTATATTACATGCTTTAACAATTTTGAATAAACCTTATATTGTTGCAGAGGATGAGGAAAAAATTTACGAACACTGTGAAGATCGTGACTTAGAAGATGTAATTCGAGATTTGGATGATAAAATCAAGGAAATGAGGGTAAGAAATATTTAAATGGATGTTTTTGGGCTTTTTAACTTGGAATTAATGCAACAATATATCATTCAATTATTTAGGATATGAAAGGAATGTTATCATCTCAAGAAGTCCTTTTCCAAAAATATGTTCAAAAACTGCAAGAGAGAGATCCTTGCTGTCCTTTATGTCACAGAAATTTTGAAAGATCAGATGATGCTGCTACTCTTATTGATGAGGTCTGTTTTGTGTTGTTTCTCAATCTCTATTATATCTTATCTTGCTGATGTTATATCTTGTATAATTGTATGTACTTTTAGTTAAGGAGTGAAGTTCGAACTGTGCCGGTCCGACTACGAAATAATAATGAGAAATTAATAAAATGCGAGCGACAATATGAAACTCTTCTGCAACTGAAATCTACAAATGATCGTCTCAAAAATGGAAAAGAAATTGTGATTCCAAAATTGAAGTTAGTGTTAACATATTTCTTGGAAAATTATTTAGTGTTGTTTAGTAATGTTATTTACACTCTTTCTTGTCTAGAAAAGAACTGAAAGATGTGGAAAATCAGCTTAAAAATGCACGGGAAAAATCAGAAGAATTACAAAATGACTTGCTGACTCCACAAATGGATGAAGGAATGGCGAGAAACATTCAGGGAGATGTCTTCTTAATGGACAAGTGTCTGTCTGAACTGAAGATTTGTAAGACAGACCTTTCAACATTGAAAGCTGAAATACCACCAGCAGGTAATTGCTTCTGACAATTGAGTGTGAGATAGATTCTATCTAAGGAATTATTTTTGTATCTATTTCATTGCTTGCAGAGAGTGGGAGAAGTTTGGAGGAAGCTCAGAAAATGCAGGATGATTTGCGGAAGGAAGTAGCTGATCTCCGTCAAAGCTTGAAATCATCCAAAACTTTATTAGAAACTCATACTGATAAAGTTCAAAAACTTCATTCTAAAAAAAATTCTCTTGTTGAGGAGCAGTTGAAGGTTAATTGTAGTGTTATTGCATTGTCTAGCTAAAATATAAACTTAAATATATTCATATTCATTAATATTTTGATTTTCAATTCTTAATAACCAAAACAATGTTTATTTAGATACAAGGAGGAACACAGCAGTTGCAACAAATGCGTGAAAACCTTGCAGAACTGGAAGTACAATTGGCTGATTTGGAGGAACAAGTACAGTTACTGAAGTCTGATGTGACAATAGTAAGAAAGGACTGTGATGATGCTCGCCGTACACTTGAAGAAGTGAAGACAAATAACCGTACTCAAATAAAAGCAGAAGATGCTAAGGTAAGGAACATAAGTGACAGAGTGAACTGCTTTTAAATTAAAGTTAATTTTAAGAATATAAAAATGAAAATTGTTTAATGTTTGTTTAATAATTATAGTAGTTTTGAATGCATGAATACAAAGTAGTTATATGTATTTAATAAAAAAAATTCAACCACAACAAAAACTAAGAAATGCATTTGACTAAGAGAAATTTTTAGCTAAGTAATACTGGGAGTGAGGGAAGAAGAAGATACTACATGTTTTCTCCATTATCTTTTCATAGGTAAATGAATTGGAAAACCGGTTCAAGGATCTCGTGAAATATAATGTATCTATTGATGAATATGATCGACGTGGTTATAGCAATGAACTTACATCTGCTCAACAATCACTGACTGATCTAAATCGTGACAAAGAGGATTTACAGAAGAGGCATATTGAGCTTGCAGATCGTGTTGATCAGTTGAAAAATGAAATTTCTGGACAGAAGGTAAATTAATAAATGTCTTTCCTGTCACTAATACATTTCATTTTGTAAAGGTGAACAGTTCATGTTGGCCTCTCCTCTTGTTTAATTGTGATATTGTTATAAATATTTGCAGTTGCATGATCGTGAACTTCGAGATAATCTTCAACTAATGGAAAAAGAAAAAGAGGAAGAAAAAAAGGCTAGTGAGTTACAGAGTCTCTCAAGGAAACATGGAAGCGTGCAACAAAGTTACAATCAGATAAAGGATGAGAAGAAAAAACTTGAAACAGAACGCCAATCCATCATGAAAGAATCTCAACAAGCTGAAGGAAGAGTTGAAGAAATGCGCAAACGTTTGAAGGGTTTGCAGAAAGAAATGGCCGAGGAAATGTATGAGGATGCTGATAAAAAATATAGTAATGCTTTGAGAGAGAAAACGGTAATTACTTCTTTCATTTGCCTAGTTTTATTTATTGGTTTATTTAATATATTGTATAGACAATTTAAGTTTATAAAACCGGAATTTGTGCGTTAATAACATACCACGTTCACAGTCTCTTATCTATTTTGTGGTCTGTGTTTCATTGTAGGTGAAAGAAATAGTTGATACTGACTTAGCCAAGTACCATAAAGCCATGGAATGGGCAATGACACAATTCCATCAGGAGCGCATGAAAGTAATCAATGAAATTATTCATGATTTATGGCGCAATATCTACAGAGGAAATGACATTGACTACATAAAGATTGAAGCAAATGCTCCAGATGTTACAAGTATGTTTGGTTCCTTTTCTTAGATATATATAGATATTTATTATTCCTGCAGGTAGGTTTATGCAACCTGGTGGCAGAACACTAATTCACATATTACAATTAGAAGGTTATAATACAATGTAACTTTAAATTATTTTGAGACAATAATAATAATATTATTATTATTATTATTATTATTATTATTATAATTTAACAAAGAACGATGAAGGTGTAAATAACATTAACTCTATATTTTATGTCTGTCTTGCACAAATATTTTAAATTAATAAATACATGCCATGTTAATCACACTGCTCTCCACGTTTCACTTCACTTCTCTTTCTTTCACAATACTACTACTACTACTAATAATAATAATAATAGTAGTAGTAGCAGTAGCAGTAATAGTAATAGTAATAATAACAGCTACAACTATTACTCACGCAACTTTTCTTGAACGATGACCTTGATCCCCCTCCCTTGTGCAATAAACAGTTGAAGGCAAAAGCTCGCAGCGGGCACTGATGACAACGCTTCCAAGCATTAAACTTCGTTGGCCCGCGAAAGAGAAGATAGTCAAAGCCCAGTTGCGGCCCCGCCCGGCCTCATAGTGCAGACTCCTGTTTACATTTATTGTGCAATATCGAAAAGAAATGCTGAAGGCAGGGTTCCCGAAGGTCCTTCAAGGAGTGATGTCAACTAAAAACTCCCGAAAAGTTGAAGCCAGCAAGATTGCAGTTTTGGACTTTTATTTTCACATACACGTTCTGCTATACTTTTAATAATACTCTAGTGACCGACTTTGTAACTAATACCCCCACTCCACCTGAAATCGCCAATCCATCGTTCAAAAAAGTTGCCCGAATAATACTACAACTACAGCATTTATTTTTAAATCTTTGAACATCTAGAGGAAAGGGTTCCAAGGCTATCACAGGCAACTTATTCCAGTCCGTTATTATTCTACTTGGAAAGGAAAATTTTCCAACATTTGTGATTACATTGTTGCAAAGCAAATTACATTATCAGCCTTACAAGCAATTATAATACTAGTATCCAAATCAAATGTGTATGTCTAATTTGTTATAAGTTCACATTGTGTGGTACAATGACAACAATCATTTCCATAAATGAAAGGTAATGATACTGGAACTGTATGTAATAGTCTGTCATATTCTTGCATTTCCTCTTTCATTTTTCACGGTACTGTTTGAATTGCGCATTGTCATTGGTGGTCCACACTCCTAGTTGCATTCAAGTTGTTCACATGTGGCTCTCAAGGTCAATCAAAGTACAAAATGCTGTGCAGGCCTGCTCTAAGTGATCAAGAATTTAAAAGTAAAAATTTGGCGTCATTTTGTCAGAAAATTTTGAAAATATTTATGTATGTAATATAAAATTCCTATTAACTCCAAATAAAATGTATGCCAGTATTAAAATAGCAGTTTCAAATACCTAGTCTCATATTTTTTTTCATTTTCTTTCAAAATTTGCAATCAGCCCACATTACTACTATAATTTAAAATATCAATAAGTTAATTATAATGTAAAATTTTAATATGGTTATTATCATGCTTAAATCTGAAACTAAGCATTCAAGCCTTTAAAATCTTGTTTTAGGGAACCAAAAGGGCAGAAAACGCATTTCTTATGCCATAATCTACCTTTAGACCTTTTTCAACCTTCTGTTCCATTTTTAGAAGATTAGCTCTTCTGAACATCTCCAAAGCAAAATACATCAGAAATATGCAGAATCTGGAAATCTGTGTATAATTAAACTAAATTTAAATTTTATTAATAATAGGAATTGAATATTGGTGGTAGGTTTTTAATTACCTTAATTTTACATTCATTCAATCTTCGTTGTCCTGGAATACAAGTACTTTACAAATCTTGTATAAATTTACTCTGCAAGCCTTCACAGCAATCCACCTCAGCATACTTCTCAAATTGTCTCAGAATCTAGTTGCTACTGCCTGTTATTTCCCTGACTTTTACAATTTGTGGATTGTGTTAATATACATGATAGTGTGGTTTGGCTCATTCATCTGCTTGGCATTTTACAGACATCTTATGTTTTAATTTATGCTGGTCTAAATGGTCTTCAATGTGTTTATCTGCTGGAAATATGTTAGGGCTGTGTTATAGATTACTTCCTTTACATTTTGAAGTTCATTCAGAAGACCAGGACAATCTTTGTGCGGCAAATGCCTCCAAGACATTCAATGCAATGTTTTCATTTTGCTACCTGACATCAGAAACGCTTGATTAACCAACACCTACAACTCCTCAAACTAAACAACAGTAAATATTTAGAACCAATGAACCTGAAGCATGCATTACAAGAACGGTGAATGGATTGCTTTTCTTGTCTCTCCTTCTTCCATATGGGCTTGTGAAGGTCAGTGCTATTACCAATAAATACTAGCTTTCGGACTAGTAGTGTGGTAAATACGATGATCAGACGAGGGAATTTGAAAACGGATGACCACAGTTCTTGAGTGTCTGGTGGTATGATGTCACCACGCTTTCAAGTGAATGTTTCATTTTAAAACAATGTGTTTTCTATCTTATCCAGAAGTTTTAATATTGTCACACTGTTTCCGGCATATTCAGTGTACTTTGGATCAGAAAATAGCCTATTCTAAGACTATTTTCCAGAGAAGGCTGATTTCCACCTTAGACAGGGTTTACTGTTTTTTCCTGAAGGATTCAGTACTGCTTGGCACGTTTGACAGTTCGTGGTTTAGTTTAGTCAGACGTTTCTCTGCCATGTTTGAGGACAGTCTTTGCTTTGCTTGTTGGGACGTTCATATGACATTATAAGAAAAGATTAGCGTCTCCCAGCTCTTCAGAATGTTTACTGCTTTGGATGAGGGTCAGTGGATTCTCTAACACTACTTAGAATTACATTCTGGGTGTCTCTCTTCAATTTTCCTAATTAATCTTTATTTCCCTATCTAATTTCTTGCCTGAATGTATTTGGTGTTTTTTGTTGTTGTTGAACCTTACTGATGTGACTTTTGATTTCCTTCTTAAAGTTCTTTACTTGATTTCCCCAGTTCTCTTATCACTGATACGGTATGGTTTTTCTAAGATTGTCTGTTTTTTGTTAATAATGGCTACATCTGCAAGTTCGTCATCCACGTTGTAGAGCCTCTTAATGTCCTTCTTAACGCTTTTAAATCCCCTTTGTTGCTTTTCTGCCATATGAAATATATTGTCTTCAGTCTTCTTTTGTTTTGCTACAATAAAGGTGTTTTATGTATATCTATCGAGTGATCCATTTAAAAGCAACCCTGCTGTTTGAGGGTTTGAGAGAAACATGAAAGAATTGAAATACTGCTTTTGGGACAGCCCTTTTTTTACTGCATTTCTGCGACAGTCCCTTCACTCCACCCCCTTCTTTCCTGTGGTCTGTGTCATACTGTGCTCAAAGCAAACCAGGCTGCGTCTTCATTCAAAGTTTTGAAGTTAACTTACGATGCGCCTCAGTTTAGAGCAACGCAGATTTGTGATAGAGGTGTATTCCTGAACGGAATCCTTCAAAGAGTTCCAGGCAGCTTCGAAAGAGAAGTTTTCATCTTGAGTCTGAACAAGAGTACCAATTTTGATTAGTGAAGTGCTATTGCGAGACAGGCAGCTTGTTTGATCGGAAATACAGTTGCCAAAATACAGTAATGTCGCAGCAAAAACGAGAGGACATTCGGGATGTTGTTGCATCTTCCCCGAGAAAATCATTAAGGAAGCTTAGCAGCAATGTAATATTTCGCACTGTGCCACAAAAGAAATGAAAATGAACGTATTCAAACAGTGGACACCTCAGGAGCTTAAGGTTCCAGACCAGGCTGCTTGCATGATTTACTGTAATTGAATCGTTTATTTAAAAAGCCAAATTCCTCATTTCAAGAAAACTAAGAAAAAGTGTCCTAGTGATGTAGAGTTGGTTTTTCTGTTTTCTAAATTTTTTAGTATGAACGCAGATCAGTAAAAAAAATATTTACTGTATTTGACTGGTTTCTGCACTAACTTACCAGAAATAACTTTCGTTTTGATTCGAAATATTCGTTTTTACGAGAATTAATAACCTGTAATGAAATTGTGAGAGTTGCTATTTATTATTTATTACATTAAACGTAATAATTTTAGATTTTTAAATTTTTCTTTTCAAGTCTTGAAAAATTGGACTTGTTATTCGCCTTGAAGCGTAACATCACCATTGCCTTCACCATCTCTGGTTGGCCAATACAAAATTTTGCCATAAAATTGTTCAAATTGTCCAACTACATGAAGTCTCAGTTTCACTAAATCCTCTACCTTCTTTTTGTTAATTGTTGATACCTACAACAAGAACTGTAAAATGTACAACAAGCGTGTGTAATGAAATATTTGAATAGAACCAAAATATTACGGAAGTGCTTCCTTTCATTGAGTAAAACAAATTAATGTTTATGACATGTACTATTTTAGTTCCAAAAGATGCCTTCCGGCTTTGTTTTTAGAACTACTTTCTTACCGGTGTACAAAACATATGCCTCGCCTTTCACCCTGGAATTGCGTATGATATTACGCTGTTAAGTTTCTCCATGACGAACTCCGCGTCTCCATTGTAATACAGGTTCATCTTCAGAACTAGACATATTGTCACAAAAAAAAACAAACACTTTTTCTTACTCATTAATAATAGCAAAATCAAATCACTTGCGAAAGAAATTTCTAAATGTCACTCTGAAGAGATGCTTCTTACAAACTGAAAACAACAATCTCACTACTTTTAGAAGAGCAGATAGAGATCACGGCGAGACTTCCTGTACCTTTCTTAGAAAATCTTCCCTCCCGAACTTGTAATCTAACTAACCCCTGAGGTGGTGCCTTCAAAATAGCTTGGTTTGCATGTGACATACTGATTCTCGTAGTTGTCCGCATGCAGCCTCCGCAGGATTAAAAGGAAATTTCCTTTCGGTTCAGAGCGTCACTTTCAGACCTCATTGCAAGAGTTGCAAATAGCTGATTTCTGCTCTAAACGGTATGTTTATCCTAATAGAACCATATCCTATTGCTAAATCCAGTTTTTAAAACTTTTGCCGTTAAACTAGTATACAACTAGTTTATGTTGCTTTAATACATTCGTACAAATTTGAGAACTCGCTCCTAAATTCGCTCGTTTTCAAAACATGTACTCGTGCAATAAAGCTTAACATTATAAACTAATTGCCTAAACTACTATTTTAGGCTTGGTTTTTTCTGAATGGTTATGTTAACTAACAAAACGGTAGACTCTGGGGAGCCAAGAGACCACAGGAATCAGTAGAGAGACCTTTGCATTAAAAAAGATTGGAGCATGGTGAGCCATTTTTCGACGCAGAATAATTGTTCCTTTGGTTTTCAAAGAAGCAGTAACGGAGGATAGGTATCAAAACATACTCGGCATCACATACTGTCAAGTCAACAATATCTGGATGAATTTTTTGGGAACAATTTCACGAGGTTTGTGGGCCCCTCGTTCACCAAATTTTTATCTGCAGGAGGTGCCTCAAAAGTAAAGTTTATAGGAGCAAACCTCCATACCTCTACTAGAGCTGCAAAGAAACACAGAGAAAACTATTCGCATGACTGTCGAGGCAACAAATGTTCTCAAGCTAGTTAATGCTTATTTGTTAGCAAATGGAGGATATTTTGAACATTTTCTACGAGGTTCACTTGTTTCTGACACCAATCCTTTTTCGTAATAAATAATTTACTTGTCTTCCTTACCAATTTCTAAAATTACTTTTCTTATTTTTATTTGCGGAGAATTTCCAAAACCTTTTTTCTCAAGATTGAGATAAATGGGGTGAACAGCAAGGCTGTTATGTAGCATCAACCAGTTACTATCTTTCTCTATGAATTAAACAGTGATTATTATGCTCGCTACTGAGCCCCCCTCTTTCAAAACTATTTTTATTTTTAAAGTAAGTAACATTTCAATAATAATAGTAACAATAATGACGACAATTACAGCAGCAGTGACAACAAGGAGACGACATCGACATCAACATCAACAATTAGTTCCGCGAATCTGGAATTTATAATTTATTAATACTTATTTAAAACCACTAGGATAAATCATGGGTACATTTATGGACCATATTTATAATGAAGCTAAAACAAGCAAAGTTTGTTATTAAATCTACCTGATTGTTCATTTTATATTGCTTATTCAAGCTCACTTCACTCCCAAACAATTGACAAAGGAATTGCCGTTTTTGACAATACAATTTTCTTTCACCGCCAAACAATTTGGCGCATGCCATTCTGAGCTCGTGGCCACGACAGTCATTGGCTCTCCTCCTCTAGGTGCCATTAGGGAAGAGGAGATTAAGCTTAGGTACTTCCCGGCAGTTTACCTGCTTGAAACCCCCAGCCGCTATCCAACCGGCTCAGACATAGTTGCCGGTGAGATTCAGTCTCCTTGCTTTGGATTGCGCCATATTTAGTATGTCTCGTCTTTTCAGTTGTGAAGAGGACTGCCAGGTACCATTTCCTCGTACATACCTCTCACACCACACGCCCCACCATCACTACCTAGTGGCCAGAATTGGGAAGGAATGAGGAAAGAGGTAGAGTTCAAGACACTTCATACTGGTTGGTCTAGCTTTGGTGAAGCTGGCATGCTCGTTTTGCTGGAACAAATTTCACATGATCTTGTCTAAGAATCAAATCCGGATGTCCTTGGTGAAAGGCGAACGACTTTATTCTGAGTAACAAGACTGCCTTCACCGAGATACTCTATATTATCAAAAAGATGTCAACCCCCTGGAAAGTATACAAGGAAAGGTCACAGAAATTCCCAGTTACCATCAGTACCTTCAATATGGAAGCAAATATCAAAAAATATCTTCACCCTCTTTAGAACAGAGAAGAATCAAAGCTGGTAGAGAAAAATCAGAGCACTCGCTCTCGCTCTGTAACCATTGTGGCCTAGTAGTTGCGGCACTGTCCTCACTAATATAACTTCTATTACACTCATTAGCATGTAACAGATACATGGCTCAAGCGCCAGCCCCTTCCAAGTTGTAAGAGTCACTACACTCATGGTGCAGCCACAAACACTGCTGCTGCCTCTACTTTGTTTTATAATCTACTGCATTTTCACCTAATATATGCATTGTATAGCTATGATGGTTGTTATTCTATATACATGAATATACTGAGTATAATGAACAAATGAACATAAGAATACAATGGTAAAGAGACATTTTCTATTAAACTTTTGAAAAGAAAAAGGGGGAGGGATTTTTTAAACAATGGCTTAAGTGTGAGTAGAGTAGAAGTACTGTGTTGTAATACTATGTAACCATTACCAAAAATATGAAAAAATATATGGTGTTATAGTACCTCTTGTTTTAAAACTGTCCTGATTTCATTCAAATTTGTATGAAAATTATTAGAAGGAACTGTCAGAGTGGAAATGTTGCTCATATGAGAGGTTGACTCACAATGCAGGTTGACGGAATTTCAACTTCCCTCTACATTTGGACTAAATTCGTTGTAGTTTGGAGGTGAAAAAAGGTATTACTGCATTCTACTCTGAAACTTCCAACAAAAATCTTCTTTCACTGTTTAGCCCAAACAAAGACAAGAGAGCGCATATCTGTTAAAAGGGTTTATAACTATTAATTTCTTGCTGTTTGAAAAAAATGTAAATCTGGGTAATTTAAAAAGGTTTCAACACATATTTTTCCTTGGCAAATTTAAAGTTTGTGCCATTTTGGGGAGCATTCTGTTTTTCAAATTTCTAAAAGGTTAACAAGATATTTCACAAATACTAGCTCTTACAGCTATATGCTTTATTTTTTTGATTTTATCCTAAAGAAAAAAGAAAATTTGAATTGGTTTTGAGTTTAATAAAAAAATAGAAACATTTCAGAATATCTAAAAAGGTTTTTGTATCATGCTATTTACAACTTGTCTACGTCTTAAAACTAAAATTAACAGTTTCTGGTAAGAACATAAAAAGATGAATTGTCCACTTCTAGGAAAAAACATTCTAAAGAACTGAACAAGAAATGTTTACATTCCCTAACCACTAAGCAAAGTTTTGGGGGTATGACTGCACTCTTTCCACTATTTTATTCTCCAACATTGAAAAATACCAATAAGTTCTGAAGATATTCTTAATCTCTGAAAATTCCTGATTGAGAATTCGTCACAGACACTACTTGTCAAGTGTGAAACTCTCTTCAAATATTATTCTGATAAATATTCAGGTTCCTTTTATTAGTACTTTGTTAAACCTGACTGAATTATGCCCCTTTTCCCAAAGAATGAAACTTCAAATTAACTTCTCCCTGTAGCACGTCACACACAGTGTTTAACTGTTTTTGACATCATTAAATAAGTAAAGGAATATCACACTGAACATTTCTGTTGTGTGCTTAAAATTGAAGCATTTGAACGAGCTCATTTCACAAGATTAAAATTAAAATCTTCTCACACCAATAAATGATTTGATAAAAACAGGATATGTTTTAATTATGTTTTAAATGTGAATAAGCTGTGTTTGAACTATATCCCTTTGGGAATACACAAAGGACCCTCTAAATCGATGTTTTGAAATTTATGTGTGTAATATATTGTTGCAAAAATCTCTTAACAAATCCTCATTTTCGACCCATTGGATTTACATTATATCAACAATTATTTTCGCGTGTGATATTGAGATCACTAATTGAAAATTGTTTTCTTCATATTCTGTTTTTAGGTGATACTAAAAGACGTTCATATGACTATCGAGTTGTACAAGTAAAGAATGACATTGAAATAGATATGCGTGGTCGATGTAGTGCAGGACAGAAGGTAAGATAGTATTTGAGCTGGCAGATCTTTTGAATTAAGACTTTCAAACTGTATTTCAAATTATTTACTTTTTAAACATTTATAAAAATGCTTGTAGGTTCTGGCATGCTTAATTATTCGTCTGGCATTAGCAGAAACACTTAGTTCCCAGTGTGGAATTTTAGCATTGGATGAACCTACAACCAATCTCGATCGTGAAAACATAGAGAGTTTGGCAGAGGCCCTTGCTCAGTATGTATACAGAGGGAAATTTTCAAATATGATTTCTTTAATTCTTCTCCTTTTCTTGTTTTTATTCACAAAACTTTTTTGCAGGGTAGTAAATACAAGAATGGTAAATAAAGGATTTCAGTTAATTGTTATTACTCATGATGAAGAATTTGTAAGCCATATGAAACAGAGTGGTCAGTTATCTCATTATCACATTGTGACTCGAAATGAAGAGTGAGTTTCATAATTTTAGTTTGATGTGATGTCATGAAAGGTCATTTTGCTTACAGATACATTATAATAATATTCTGTTGTTTTCAGGGGCAAATCAAGAATTACAAAACATGTTGTCCAGTAGTCAGTTTTTATTGCGGTTCATCAGTGCAGATATTCCAGATTTGAACTGAAAAAGTTTTCTTTGTGATAAGAAATAATGATTCGTGTAAATATACTTCTTAGAGACTATTTTTATCTACAACTTTTTTTTGTATTTCATTTTTACATCTAAAACTTTGCAAGTTTGTTCAAGCTATTAAAAGTTTGTATTGAAATGAGTTGTTGGTCTTATTACTAATCTTTGTATTAGAATTGAAATTAATCATGACTAGTGTTTTCTCTGGAACTCTTATTTTGGTTTTGGTTTGATGATCTAGTACAGATTTTAAGAAGAAATATTGTAGTACTGTGGAAATAGAGTAGCTGGCAATTGGCATAGGTAGCAGAAATGAGCAGAGTAGTATTTGGGGCAATTTGTTGGAAATAATCTTTTCCAAGGTGGTCACTTTCAAAAAAAGTCAGGGAATTTGTAGAAAAATCTTTAGAAGATAGGAATATTTGGAGGCATTTATTAAACTAGATATAATATTATTACTCTCATCCATTATCTACTAATAACATTTAGTTAATACAGAGGAAATAACCTGTTAAAACAATTTCTGATGCACTGGCGATACTTGTTCTAATTGCAGCACCACCAATATGTGCCCTTAGTTGCAGTACATATGTTCGTTTCCTCTTCTTCCCATATATCGCGAAGTAAATCTTTCGCTTCGCATGCAAGCTACTGATGCCGGCTGAAGTCTAGTATACGGTACAAGTAACGGAAGTCTTTTTAAACGGGCACTTCGCGTCGCTCTGGTGGCAACTGCTCAGCTTGAATTCTGGAAGCTTTCTTGAAAAGTGCTTTTTTATAATAGTGAATTGGTAATTATGCGGTGGATAGACTCAAGGATGTTTATGGTGAACGCTACTTTAACCCAGATACCAATTGCTTTGCTTGTGGTGTTATATTTTCCGACAGCTCTTCTATCTTCTCTTGCGATGCGTATCTTCCTTGAATACATTGATGCCTTTCATCAGGCTGTCCAGCTTAGCGTTAACATCTACATCCACACATTCATTTTAAGATATACATCAAGCTCTCTTCGCCCAATCTCTTCTAATTTCCAATCCAATTCTCTAGTTAATTCGGCGCTTAACACACGGATCTAATGGCCACACGAAAAAAAAAAAAAACGTTGCAGTAATACAGATCCAATGATACTGTACAATCCCCCTGTTACATACATGATCTGGTATACTGCAACTTTTTTTTTCGTGTATGCTGCACTCATAACATCTTACAGGTTCACTTGTTTCTCTGTACGTTTCAGCATGCTTCCTTGAGCTCTTGCGCCTCACATGACCATACACTTCCGCTTTCGTTTGTGGCCTCTTGTTCGGTAGCAAATAGCTGATCTTGAATATTTAGATCTTCCACCTGCATACCACATATCTTAAAGGTTTGACCTCTTCCACGATTCCTGAGCAACATGTTTGCGCTTCATTGGCACGTAGCATCAGACACCTGTTTCCTACGTCCAAAATTGCATTGTATGCTCTCAGGCAATCAAAACCGGGAGCCAAAGGCATTATTAAACCCCCAATAATTATTGCAAGGGCTGTGATAGTAAAATTATCGACCACTAACTCCATCTAAACTTGACCGTTCTGGCAATCTGCCAACCACTTATTCGCCACCCGAATTCTCAACTTCTCCTCCAACATTGTGCCCTTTCGCTTAAAAAAATCCAGTGACTGCTGCCACACTACTACCAGAATCTACTATAGCTTCCGTTTCAACTCCAAAGCAAGTTCCTTCTGGTACCAAGCATTCTCTTAATTTTTCCTCTGGCCCTTCTTCCCGAATTAAATCTTCCGATATCATAACGCGCGCAATAGCATTTATTCGCCTTACCCCTTCCGTTCCATTTGAATCGACGCCCCTTTTCGCTTCAAACGAATTTAGTTTTCTTGGATTGCGTTTACTTGGAATGTTTCGCGTCGTTCTTTCCTTTGCGAGGCGAATTTATTCCCTCCACTATCATTCCCTGATTTATGAAAATCATTTGATTTGTCTCCTTATCTTTTCTTTTCCTTATAGAAATTATCTCCATCTGTGTTATCATGCTCCAACTCTTATTTTCATGATGCCCTGCTGAAAGCAATTCCAGCATTGCTAAAAAATGCGCGTACATGAGGCGTTTTAAAATGTCTCAACCCTTTCTGTGTCATAATGACGCATTACATTCGATAGATCAAGTTCAGTTTCGATTCTTACACTTCCAAAACTGGCCAGCTGATCAAGTGAACGCTAATATTTGTGTGATCGATCATATTTTGTGATTATATTTTGTAGTTTGTGCAATTTTTTATAGCCTTCGTTCCTCACATTACGGTCGTGGGAAAACACTGAACGTGACCCAGCAAAATAATTTATTAAGTTTTTTGTTTTCTAATAACCAACTGGTGTTTTTGTATTTTGAGGAGATTTGCTCGTTTGCGAACACATCTGCAAGCTCAGTATACGGCCACGCTAGTCGGTGGTAGGCCTGGGTTGCGGCGCTGATACGAGTGCCGTTCAAAAATACGCGGACTGACGCCATAAAACAAAATGTACTTTATTTACAAGTTTGATGTCTGGATCCACATCAAAGTATTCTCCCCAACGCTTACACTTGTCCCATCGATGTTGCCACTTGTTGAAACAGTGCTGGTACGCTTCTTTTGTAATGTCCCTTAGCTCCTTCATCGCATTTGCCATAATCTCGCAAATCGTCTCAAATGGTATTTCTTTCAAGGGTCTTTTGAGTTTGAGGAACAAGAAAAAGTCACAAGGAGCAGGTTCAGGTGAGGAGGGAGGGTGGAGAAAAACAGTTATCATGCCAAAAACTCAAAGAGTTCTGAAGGCTGAATGGGCTGGAGCGTTGTCGTAATGGAAAAAACAGTCGCAACTCTTCCACATTTCTGGCCTTCTCCGGCGGATGGCCAACGTCAGACATTTCAGAACTTCAATATAGTAATTTTGGTTCAATCTGGAGCATTCTGGGGGATATTCGTCGTGAACCAAACATAGCGAGCTTTTTTGGGTCACCCGTCCACTGGGACGATTGAACCTTTGTTTCAATGCCGTAACCATAAATCCATGATTAATCACATGAAAGTTATGAGTTTTGACAAGAAGTTGGTATTTTCTGAACGATCAAGTGGATACTGACATAGCTGGAAACGATGGGCTTTTTTTGCCTCCGTTATTAAGCATGGCACAAATTTCGCAACAACGCTATGTAATTTCTATAAAGAAAAGATAAGGGAGCAAATCAAATTATTTTCATAAGTCAGGGAATGATAGTGGTGGGAATAAATTGCATCTTCAATCTCTTAGTCAAAACCTCGTGACAAGATCCAGCTGATATCCCACACTCTTCCGAAAGCTCCCTGACAGTCTGACGTCAATTTTCCTCGCACCAGGGTGTTGATTTTGCAAACGTGGGTACTCTGTTCTCGTGGAAGGTCGTTCAGGACGGTCATCGTCTTCAATGGACTGTCGACCATCTTTAAAACGTCTATGCCACTTAAACCATGCCGTACGTTTCATAAAAACGTTTCCGTCAGCTGTGTTAAGCATATCGAAAGTTTCTGTCACAGATTTTCCTAGTTTAACACTAAATTTCACAGCAAATCGTTGCCCTTTCAGGTCATTAAATTTGAAAGCCGCCATACGAAGAAATCGCTCTTTGCTAATACCACGTAGGTAATAAACAAATGAAGGTATCAACAATCGGAAAATGGCGTCATAATCAGCAGATCTGAGCAAACCTAGCTATGCATAAGCATGCATAAAGTGTGCTGTATAGTGGAAGGTAACTAGCTCTTGGAGATCGTGGGCACTGTGTCCAGATAAACTGGCGCATAATTTTAAAGTAAGGGTTGTACAATTTTCTCCGGCGTGACTGCACAACTGAATTCCTTAGCCCATTATAATGTTTCAGGTGATAAATATCTTATAAATAATTAATGTAATGAATATTTGGCTCCCGTGGAACTAAAGTGGTCTATGAAACATTTTCAAGAAAATCTAGGTTATAAATCTGATATGAACAGGTGATCATCTATATATTCTAAAGTGGACTACGTGTCATTTGTCGTTGTAGGTGCCGCATAATAAAAGCACAAATTTAGTATTGGCAGATGGTTTTAATTAATAGGCAATTCTTAAGCGGTCTTAGTCACATTGTGATTAGTATCATATACCACTTTAGTTCTTGGCTGGCCATTTTGAATGAAAAGGATCTTGACTTCGCAATCGCTTTTTTCTTAAAAGTGAAATAATGGCAATAACTTAATACGACTTTATCAGATTAGACATTTCTTGAATGTTGAAAGAGCTGCCATCCCACAAGAGTGAGATAATAAATCTAGGAGGAGGTTTTGCTAGAAGAGATAGGCTACATATGGACGTTCATTTGTTTCACGTTTCCACACACATCAAAAATAACAGAATAATTTAATAAAACAACGCAAAACGAAAGCAGACCAACAATTCGCTATTTAATCACATTCCTGCACTTAAACAAAATTATTATGCAAGGCAGAAATTTAAAAGAAAATAAACATGAAGTAAAGGTATAAGTGATAAAGTATATAATCATAATTGAAATCTTGGTTGATTGAAAACATACGAGCAATGTTTCCGTTAGAAGCTCCCATTCGTTGTGATGTAGAACGCCGGGAAAGTCTCTCTGTACTGAGTCCAGTCAGGACCTCGTATTAAAATTATATTGGTAGCAACCAGATCACTGGGAAACAAGTGAAGGGAACAACACTTAGGCATTAGTTATGATTATGGTGAGTAAGCAATTCACTTTTTACGAGCTGCAGTTCATGCTAGCATCATAAATGTCAGTTGCTAGCACACTCACCAGCAAGGTACCACTGCGGAGAGACTTTATAGCGCGCTGAATTTCGAGCTTGCTTCGCGCTTACCATCAACACTTCTGCTTGCCCTTGGGCACCCTCTTTCTGCATTTCGAGAAGAAATGAGAGTGGAGTGAGGGCATGTTGCCTACGCGGGCAAAGTATACTTCGATTTATTTAGTGTCCTTTGACCGACCATCAGGTGTTACGGTGACATCCAATCGGGAGCTTAAACATTACGACTGTAGTGTCATCCGAGCTCCCGATTGGATGACACCGTAACACCTGATTTAAGTCGACTGACCCTAAGTTTAAAT